AATGAGGACCTAATGCCAGGGGCTTAAGTGGAGAGGAAATGTTTTGAGAATGATGAGGGCAATGAATGTACAAATGTGCTTTACACAATTGATGCATGTATGGATTGTGATAAGAGTTGTATGAGCCCCTAATAAAATGATTAAGGAAAAAAAGAAAGTGGAAGGCCCTCCCTGAGCTGGATTGACATGGTGGCTGAAGCACCGGGCTCAGACATAACCGTAATTGAGTGGGGTTCAGAGAAGAGAAATCTAGAGACGAGAGGGAGAGTATTCGATGTCATCATAGATCAGCACCATAAATTTAGGCTTTATTTCAAATAGGATAGATTTAAATAAGATAGTAACACAATCTAGGGTTACCTGGACAAACTCATTCTGAATTCTCTCTGCAGTGTGGACTGCTGGGACAAGCATGCAGACGGATGGACAGGTCAGGAGGCCATTGCAGCCATCTAGACAAGAGATGGATGGGGACTGGCACAAAAAGTTGAATGTTGGCGATGCAGAGAAGTGGGACAATTCAGGGGGATTTCGATGTAGAGTCCATGGGAGCCGCTGCTGGGAGGAGGTGTGAGGGAAAGCAATGAGAAACCGAGACTTACTTTCATGTTTGTGGATTGAGGTCCTGGGTGCTGAAATGAAGACAACTTGGAGGCGAGGGTAGAATGACTGATTTAACTCTGCAGATGACAAGCGGGCTGTGAGTGAGCTTGAAACTTGAGAGTGGCCGTCTAAGGTGCTGCTATTGCTCTCTCTTTGTCGGAAGGAAAAGAAGAGGGTTGGAAATCGAAGACACTTGGAAACAACTAATCCAATGAACTAGTGGACTACCTGAACACCAGTTTCCACAACCCTGAGACCAGAAGAACTAGATGGGGTCCTGTTACCATTACCATCTTTTCTGAAAGGAATCAGGTTAGAGGGTCCTGGATAGAGTCAGAGGAAAATGTAGAACAAAACTCATAAAAGAGACAAGATTTACGGGTCATAGAGAGAGTGGTAGAACCCTAGAGACTATGCTATGGCTCTCAGTCACCCTGTAGAGCTGGGACAGTCCCCTCCCATGATTCAATTTTCAGCCAACTAATAGACAGGTGTGTAAGGGGAATGATGAACTAGCGATGCTCGCACACCTTCTTACAATCAACCACCATTTGAAATCAAAAGGGTCGCATTAGCCCAGCAGCCACATTCAAACGTTTCAGAAAAGAAGGCACGGAAACAGGAAACACAGGAGGAAGTGGAAAGGTGATGTTACATGGAGGGGAAAGTAAGAATTGTGATGGAACAACATGTGTCCAAATTGTTGGATACAAAACTGATGATCTGCTCTGTAAACCTTCACTCGATTAACAAAAAAGCTAATAACTGAATTAAGAGCAACACTTGCCCTAGCGAGGCTAGCCCGGAGCGTGGGGACTGGAGGAGGTTGGCGGGAGAAGAGGAGGCCCATCCACATGGGCCTGGGACGAGGCCTGCCCAGCCAGGGGAGCTGCGAGTGCCGCTCCATTCCGAAGGGAGACTTTACCTCCATGCTGCCTGACCTTGTCACTTCCCTAATTAACCCCAAATTGTGAGTATTGACAGAGTTCTGTGTGGCCATGGCGCCCCCAAAAGAGGTGGTGGTGGTGGTGGTGGTGCTGGAGTGTGGTCTGCTGGCAGGAGAGACAGGGTCATTTAGGTCATGCCTCTTTTCAGGGGCGTGTCTCCCCCACCCACCAAGAACATCCTGAGTGCAGGGACCCTGCCTCTTCAACCTCGGAGCCGCAGTTCCCAGCTCAGAATAGGTGTGGCCTGCACACCTCACCGCCCTGTGTTCATGGTCTGGGAGACTCCCTGAAGGAGGTCATCTGCAGGCCAGAAAGATAACGGGAGAAGTTGGCTCGTCAGAGCGCCCCGAGCCTCGGTGGGAACGGAATCCTGGTGCACTTTGCTGCTCCCTAGAACGAGAGGATGTTTTCCTTTTCTCCCTCAAACTGTGGAGAAATCTCATCCCCTCCAAGCACAGTATCCCAACAAGCTGACCACACAGACCGGGAACCATATGGAGAGGACTTTCTATGAAGCCCAAGAAAGGAAGCCGCTGGCTTCTCAGAGCTCGTGCCAGAGATCCCCAGGGGAAAGACCATTGACAACAGTGGGGGTGGGGAGGGGAAGAGGACCTCGAGCAGGTGTGGTAGGTGGGGTGTATGGGGGGCAAGTATGACCAGCACAGGGAGGGATGGTGCTTCTGCACCCTCCAAATCTGACCTTTGGTCTCTGTTCAGTCTGGTGTTCCCTTTGGGGGGGTGGGAGTGGCTTGCCACCATCGGCAGTGAGGCCATAGAAGCAGGTGTGGCTGTCCCTGAGAGAGCAGGGAGTCGAAGCAGGAGTGAGAGAGACACTCCTGGCCGGCAGGTCTCTGCTGTCTTTATCCCTCGGCTTCTCAACTGTTGGCCTTCGGTTGGGTTCTGACTCATGGGCATCACCTAGAACTGTGCTCCAGAGGGGTTTCAAGGGTTAAGTTTTGGGAAGTCCATTCCTGCTTCCAAGGAACCTCTGCGTGGAATGGAACTTCCAACCTTTGGTGAGCAGCCAAGCTCATCAATTGTTTGCATCACCCAGGGACTCCGGGGATACGGGACCTACCCTGACATTTCCCAACAAATTCGGGTTGCGGTAGTCTGAGTTGATTTCTGGTTTGTTTGTTTTTAACATAAAAGACGAAGGCCAGAGAGTCGTCCAGGCCACACTCGGTTTGCTTAGCCTCCTTCACTTTGCCAGACAGGCTGACAACTGCTGCCTGCCCATAGGCCAAGACGGAATTCTCTGAAAGTACCGCCTGGATAATCCCGGCTGTGTTCCCGTTTGTTCTGCGGATCAATTAAACGCTCTCTTTATCCTTTGGCCTTGTTTAGACTCCTCTGTCTGTCCTTTTGATGTTTGGGATAACAGGGAATCAGGATAGCCTTTATTCAACGTCTATCTGGAAATTACACCCCAAAACACCACAGCTGCAAAGGCAATAACCACCAAGGGACTCAGACACTGCCTTGGAAACCCGAGGGCTGGACGAGCTAAGACTTTCTCACCTTAACAGAGGAAGAAAGTAGCTACCTCGGGGAACCTTGGGCAAGTCACTTAACCCCCTCTGGTCACCGTTCTTCATCTGGGAACTGTGGGGAAACACACACACACAGCGCGCGCTGGGTTATTTGGACTGAGTGAAAAAAAATGATACAGCTCCTGGCACTTAGGATTTTCTCCACAAATGTTAGTTATTATTAAAAGGAACTCTGAATAGTGAAAAGGAGGAGGAGTCTCATCAAGGAGACTGTTCTGGACCTGACTTGCTTGGAAAGCTGAACTCACGGCCATTGAGTCACAGCGACCCTATTGCACAGGGTAGACCTGACTCTGTGTTTCTAAGACTGCAACTCTTCCTGGGCGCAGAAAGCCCCATCTTTCTCCCTTCAAGGTGCTGCTGACCTTGAACTGCTGACCTCGCAGTTAGCAGCCCAATGCATAACCACTGCGCCACCAGGGTCCCTAATTCGCAGGCTGCCATTGAGTTGACTCTGCCTCCTGACGACCCCATGTGCGGGACTCGATGGTGCGGGTTTGTTTTGCTTTAGCTTTCCCTTTTAAAATGTGGAACATGGGAGAGCAGACTAAGAAGTGGACCCCCAGCGGGAAAGGAAAGAGGAAGACACGGGGCTACACATGCCTTGTTCCTCTTTCCAGCTGCCCAGGACTGTAAGTCCCGCTTCCTCCCTGAAGAGGCATGAAGGAGTGATTCCAGTGGAGGTCCCAGCTCCTTGAAGGAAACAGCGGGACAGGCTAAGAAGCACTGTCCCCCAGCCATAGCGTCCTAGGCCCCGAGTAGGACTTCCGTGAGCTTCATACCAGGTTGCGAGGAGTTACCATCTTCCGGGTGTCCAGCATACCAGGCCTCTGTTTACCCATGTTTTGGGGGGTTGGGGCAAGAGTTCACTCTTCATAGACAGTCATGGCTGCTTCTTATAGAGAAGGTGACAATGACGGGGACTTGCTTCCTTAACCTTCTTTGAGCTGTTGTGCAAGCCCCTGGACTGGTGTTGATCAATCCGATGACCCTAAACTTGACTCTGGATCATAAGGGAGTGACATAAAAAAGCAGGCAATGAGCAAATCCCCTTTCTGATAATGGGGAAGCGAGCGCAGCAAACTACATTTGGTTTCTACGCTCACAGCAGCTCCCGAGTCCCGTGTTTTGGTTCAGTCGTACACGGGGTCTATGTGAGTCGCCACTGACTTGGCAACACTGAGAAGTCATGGGAGACAAGCCTCATTTTGTCACCCGAGTCTCATGGGCAGCGATCCTGGGCAGCACATATGTACGCTTATTTTGCAGATGAGGAGACTGGCGTTCAGAGAGGTGAAGGGCTTTGCGCTGGAAAAAGGGTCTGGGTGCCCCGAGCTGCTTGGTGAGGTCACCTGCCCCCCTCTGGGCTGCAAGAGCTGCATTTTGGACACCCTCAGAGGGATCCTGGACCTCAGGGTCCAAATCGTCCGCTCAGAAATGCAGCTTGCTTCCTCGCTACAGAGAAGTGAAACTAAGTGTCCATCTTCACCGTTAGGGCTCGCCTTCCTCTCCCTGCCCCGGGGTCCTTGGCTGTCAGTGTGCCTTAGTCTGGTACCACCCCTCCCTTCTTCCGGTCTTTAGCAGTTTCAAAGCTTTCGGGGGCAGTGCTGTCGCCTGACTCTGCTGCCCAGACGTCCTCGGCCTAGTTGGAGTTGTCCTTGTCACTACTGTGAGTATGATGCGTGGGTACGTGCGTGTGCGTATGTGTGTGTCAGGGGTGGGTGGGGTCTGGGTTGCTCTCCAACAGAGAGTGGGCCTCTGATTCTGCCTCTGTGTGGACCAGGCTTGGCACAGAGATGGGCAAACACTTGCTCTTGCTACCTGGCCTGCTCCTGTCCCTTCCTCTGACCGCAGCCTGGACGACAGCTCTCCACTGCCAGGTGGTCGAAGGCGCCCGGCTGCCTCTGGTGTCCCGGTTCTTCTTGCCCTGCGTGCTGGACTCCAGCCTGTCTTTTCTTGCCTCATGCGTTTCGGTGACCAACCTCACCCGGACCCTGGAGGCTGTGCCACGGAACGTGGGGGGGCTCTGTCTTGCTGGTCCCCTCTCAGTCCTGCCCCAAGATGCTTTCTCCGACTTTCCCGGGCTCAAGGTCCTGTGCCTGACACTGCGGATCACCCAGCTCCTGCCAGGAGCCCTCCGGGGCTTGGAGCAGCTGCAGAGGCTCTCTTTCCTTGGCCACCCCAGGGATGCTCTTTCCCTAGCCCCGGAAGCCTTTAGCAACTTGAGCTCCCTCCAGCACCTTGCCTTCTGGGGCCTCTGCCTGGACCGGAACTTGGGTGTCCGGCTACCTCCCAGTCTACAGCGACTGGCCGTGAGGTACAGCTGCCTGCAGAATGTGGGCATGCTGACTGACATCTTCCCAGACCTGGTGCTGAACTCCTCCTCTGGAGAGGGCTGGGCCTTGGACACCCTGGACCTGTCATTCAACCTCAAGCTGAACACGTCCGGCCCTGGGGCCCTCCGGGGTCTCCAGCTGAGAGCCCTGCGACTGGATAACACAGAGATGAAGGCAGCTGCTGTGACGGGCCTGGGGCTCCAACGGCTGGACGTCCTATCTGCAGCGAAAACGGGCATGGCCGAGCTGCCTGGTGACGTCATTGCCCACTTCGGGCTGAAAGCGCTGCATTTTCAGGGCAACACGATAGGGCGCATAGCTCCCAAGACTCTGGCTTCTTGTCACACCCTGGAGAGCTTGGATCTTAAGAGCAGTGGTCTGACTGACCTGCCGCTAGCCTTTCTGGACGCCATGCCCAGGCTTCAGACGCTGAACCTGGCAGCCAACCACCTGCAGATTGGCATGTTGTGCAGCAACGGGACAGGGGTCGAGTCAGGACTGCGGGTCCTGGACCTGTCTGACAATGGACTGTGGACTGTGCCCCCAGACGCCTTCTCCTGCGTGCCCCACTTGAGGACGTTGCTGCTTAAGAAAAACAGGCTGGCTCACCTGGATGGCCACGTGTTCCAGGGCCTGAGCAGACTGGAGACTTTGGACCTGACAGAGAACCTACAGGCAGCCCCAGGCCAGGGCGCGCAGGCTTCTCTGTCTGAACTAACCACCCCACGCCCGCTCGACACCGCGATGGTGCCGAGTTCGATCTGGGACTTCCGGAGCACAGCAAGTCTGTCCAACTTGATACTGATGCTCCCCTCTGGACGCCCCAGGATTTTGTCTCTGCCGATAGGGCTGGTGAGTTTGGAGCTTCACGCAGTCTCAGGCACGAAGCCCTGGAAGCTGGTCCCCCCCATCTTTCCAGCTTTACAAAAGCTGACCCTGAAACACTGGGGGCTGCAACTGGCCGTCCAAAATGTCTCCAAGATCTTCCCTGCCCTCCTCCAACTCTCGCTGCTCGGTGATAGCCTGGAGGCCCTCTGTCCGCAGGACGCCTCCCGCTTCTTCCTCTGGCAGCACCCTGGGCTCCAGCAGCTGACGGTGACGGGGATCAGGCGCAGCCCCAGACCCTGCTGCATCACAGGGCTGCCAAGCCTGCAGGAACTGATCCTGCAGAATCTGCAGGCCTGGGCCCCGCCACGCCCTGTGCGCCTCGAGGAGCTGGTGGGGGAGCTGCCCAGGCTCGAGGTGCTGCAGTTGAGCCACACAGGGCTGGAGACGCTGTCGGCGGCCGGCTTCCAGGGCCTGCGCCGTCTCCAGGTCTTAGTGCTAGACTGGGAAGATGGCCTGGTGCTGGACAGCAGCCTCCAGGAGCACAGTCCCCAGATGCCCCAGTACATGTATTTCTTGAGTGTGACCTTGGCCTGCGAATGTGCCAATGGCTGGGTGGAACCCTGGCTCCAGCACTCCTCCAGAACATACGTGTACATAAACGAGGAGTGGTGCTCACCGAAAGGTGGAGGCCGCTCCAAGAGTCGCCTCTTCCCCTTTCTCCAGAGCCACTGCCCTGAGAGCTTGGGGCGAGAGCTCTTTTTGGGGACCTCGGCCCTGCTGCTTCTCCTGATGTTCCTGCCTTTCCTCCAAGAGGCCAGGAACTGGGCCCTCTATCTCCGGGCCTTGTGCAGGGCTTGGCTGAGGGGCCAGAGGACCGAGGGCCAGGGGTTCTTCTATGATGTGTTTGTGTCCCACTGCAGGCAAGATCAGGGCTGGGTGGTGGGGGAGCTGGTGCCCCTGCTGGAGGGCTTCTCTCCGGGTGGCTGGGGCCTGCGAGCCTGCCTCCCCGAACGGGATTTTGAGGCAGGCAAGGATGTGGCAGACAACGTGGCAGACAGCATGATGGGCAGCCGGGCCACCCTGTGTGTGCTGAGTCGAGAGGCCCTGTGCACACCCCGCTGCTGCACGGAGCTCCGCCTGGCCACCTCCCGGCTGCTGGCTGCGTCCGCTCCGCCAGCGCTGCTGCTGGTCTTCTTGGAGCCCGTCTCCCGCCACCAGCTCCCCGGCTACCACCGACTGGCTTGGCTGCTCCGCCCAGAAGACTATCGCCTGTGGCGCCCGGACAAAGAAGGGAAGGATGACTTCCGGGCTTGGCTGGGGATCAGGCTGGGGCAAGGGACTGGAGGGAGGAGGTAGCTAAAGGGCAGACAACCTGCTGGGGAGCGAGTGGCCATCTGTGGGGGTGGGGGGTGGGGGGTGGGGTGCTGCATGTGCAGGGAGGGAGCGTTGCCTTTGGGAGGGCTCTGGAGGCGGAGTGAAAAGATTTCAGGGAGGGCAGGTAGCTATGCGTGGGGAATGTGCACTCAAGCGCTCCAGATTGTCAGTCATTGGACCAAGCCCAGAGAATGCTTGCCTTGATTGGCTGTGGGTTTTGTTTTTTTTCTGTTTCTTCTTCTTTTTAAAAAAATACTTTTACTGGGGGCTCTTACATCTCTTATCACAATCCATGCATTCATCCATTGTGCCAAGCACATTTGTACCTATGTTGCCATCATCATTTTCAAAGCATTTTCTTTCTACTTGAGCCCTTGGTATCAGCTCCTCCTTTTCCCCACCTCCCCGGCCTCATGAACCTTTGATAAGTTATAGATGATTATTTTCACATCATACATTGTCCTGTCACCTTTCACCCACTTTTCTGTTGTTCGTCCCCCTGGGAGGGGCTTATATGCTGATCCTTGTGGTCAATTCCTCCTTTCACCCCCTACCTTCCCCTTATCCTCCTGGTATCTCTATTCTCATTGTTGGCCCCGAGGGGTTTATATCTATCCTGGATTCCCTGTGTTGCGGGCTCTTATCTGTAGCAGTGTGCATGTTCTGGTCTAATCAGATTTGTAAAGTAGAATTGAGGTCATGATAGTGCGGGGTGGGGAGGAAGCATTAGAGAACCAGAGGAAAGCTGTGTGTTTCATCAGTGCTACACTGCACCCTGACTGGGTCATCTCTTCCTTGTGGCCCTTCTGTGAGGGGTGGCTGTGGGTTTTGAATGGAAGGCTTCAGGTTCTGGGATTACCAGAATGGAAGCCCAAGGAAATAATAGTGGGAACTCATGGAAAAAGTTGAGAGGAAGGAATGTCTCTGAATCGTTCTGAAATGCGTCCTGGGGTCCCTGGCAAGTATAACCAGATCTTTGAGGAGGGGGTGTGTTGAGGGACTCCTTGCCATCCGGGTTATAAAAGGGTTAATAAGCGAGAGCCCAAGAACTAAGCAGCTGAGACTGTGCAGACAGCAGCAGCCTGGTCGCCTGGTCCCTCAATAAAAATATGTTCGCAGCTATCGTCTCGGCTGATTCTTACAGCAACATTGAGGGGGAAACTCCCACCCCCCACCTCTTGGCACTTAGCACGTCAGCCATACTGAACTACCAGGAGCTCCAGAGATGAGATGCCATGCTTAATTGCCTCCAGTGCTTTGCACGTGCTGCCACCTCTCTGGAGAGACCTTTTCCTTTTGAGGAACTCCCATGTGTGCTTGAAGCTCCTGTGCGTCATCATTGTCTCCCGATGTCTTCCCTGACCTCCCAGGCTGGGTAAATTGCTGCCTCTGGGCTGCCACGACTTGTCCTGATCCCACTATACTGCCCCTCTCCTAGGCTTGGGAGCCCTGGGAGCAAGGGTTTCCAAAGTCAGGACACACACTGGGATGTGTGGGAATGCACTGGGATCTGGGAGGCAAATGTTCTAACGCTTTCTTCTTTTCAACCTCACATTACTGCAGAGCTAGTCTGCTTTTTAGGCAGGTGGCCTTGGCATGTTGCTTAACCTCTCCGTACCTCAATTTCTCCATCTGTATTAGTCTTAGACCTCTCTTCAGAGAGTTTGTGAGAACTAAATGAGTTACTATGTACCAAGAACTGAGAATATGACCTAAGGCATGATACATGTTTAATAAAAGCTAGCTATTGTCATGCATGTATGTAGTCTATAAGTAAATAAATACATGAATATTGGGGGTGTGTGCACAATCATGTTTTACTCATTGGGTTCCCAGAGCAGGAAAAGTTCCCAAGCCCTGGAAGCAGGGGCCAGGTTTGATTCATCTCTGCACCGTTAGAGACTAAGGCTGCCCCACTCAGAAAAGTGTGCACAGAACGGTTGCACATCAAATCCTGGCGGATCCTGAACTAGGAAACTCTGACGTCTGCTTCAAGCTCTGTCACTCACTTCTCTGCGAACACTGGGCAGGGAGCCTGGCCTGTTGGGGACTTGGTTTTGTCTTCTGTAAAATGCAAGGGCAAAGATCAAGGGAAACCATAGAAGGATTCTCGTCTGGAATTAGGCTGATGGGCGCCCTCTTGTGTCCTAACGACGTCCTTTGCGCTAAGTGCACCGTGGCCTCCCTTCCTCTTGGGGCAAGAAGGTCCTTGGCTCTGCTCTCCCACGCCACTGCCCTCTCGGTCTGCTCTCCACTTCTCCCGTCACTCCACACGGCCACACTGTACTCCCTAGCCCTGGGCTTGCTCTGGGACCTTGGCCACCTGTAATGTGGGGCTGAGAAGAGACCTTTGGAGTCCCACACCCAAGGGTTCAAATTCCAGCCCTGGCACTGAGTGACTATTTCCTGTTGTAAATTATTATCAACCACAAGGACTCTGGAAATTCAGAATGAAGAAGTGCTTACATGTTGCTCTTACACTTAGAAAGCAAATTCACACAAGCCACTGTTGTTAATAAATTAGAATGTGCTTCTCAGAGGAGCAGGAATTTGAATTGGGTCTTTAAGACCAATGTGCGGAATTCACCTAACTTCAACATCAGTCAATACGTACAGAATACTTACCATGCACTTTACCAGACACCCACTCGTTGCCAGAAGCCGATTCAGACCCAAGAGTCAGAGTCTGAATGGCCACGTGTGTGTCGGAGGAGAACTGTACTCCACCGGGTTTTCAATGGCGGTGATCTTTCAGAAGATTGCCAGGGGCTTTCTTCCAAGGTGTTTTTTGGTGGATGAGAAGCACCGACCTTTGGGTGAGTAGCTGAGCACTTAACTGTTTACACCACCGTAAAAACTAATGATCATTCAATTCTTTCTATGTGCAAGATGAATGCCAAGCTCTTTACACGGGTGCAGCAACGCTCTCAGGCAGATGTCATGCCGCTTCTCCTCATCTTAGACGTGGGGACAGAGGGGAAAAGAGGTTCAGTAACTTGTCCAAGGTCGCTAGGAGTCGGGATCCACTCGATGGCAGTGAGTTTGGTTTTGGGGTCGCCACTGTTGTTGTTAAGTGTGTTGAGTTGGCTCCAACCCAGAGGGACCCCATGCACAACAGAGGGAGATAACTCTCTGGTCCTGCGCCATCCTCACAATTGATCTTATGTCTCAGCCCATGGTCGCCGCCTTCCTCTTCTCTGCTGCCCGTCCACGTTACCAAGCATCATGACCTCTATTAGACCAGGGACTAGTCTCTCCTGATAACATGGCCAAAGGATGTAAGATGAAGTCTTGCCACCGTTGCCTGTAAAGAGCATCCTGGCTGCACTTCTAGCAAGACCGATCAGTTTGTTCTGTTGGCAGTTCCATGGCCTGAACTAGTGAGTGGCAAAGGAGCTACCTTGCCCTTGAAAGTAAAATTTTAGATCTAAGCAGCATGAATGCAGAGATTATGCTGCACCTGCCTCCTCATTTGATCCTTACAACATTCTACAGTGTAGGCAGGCTCTATTACATTACGTACATTTCACAGATGGGAAAAGCCAAGGACAAAAGAGGTGCGGGAACTTTTTCAAGGTCACATAACTAGGAAGTCCTTGGGTTAAGATTTGGATCCATGTCTGACTACAAAACTCACATTCCCAGGCCCATCTTAGCTTGCTCAGACCCTCACAGATTGATTTACAATGGTACGACCCAAGTGCATTTATATTAGGACTGTTCTGTAATGATGACTCGCATTCTTTCAACACCCACTAAGTACCAAATGTGTACCAACAAATTGACGTAATAATAACTAACACTCCTGCTGCATTATTAGGACTCAGGCACCGAGGTGATCGCTTGAGGCATATCATCTCATGTAAGCCTCCCAAGAACCTGGTAACATCGGTGCTATTATTAGCCGTTTACAAGTGAACAAAGGGAGGTACAGAATTCACCAGAAGTCGTGTAATTTAGAGGTGAGCTTGAAATTGCACGACCTTCCAACTCCCATCTGGTCACTAGTCTAATCACCTCTAGCGACCGACCGTCTTTTCCAAAATTGTCCGTCTTTTCTAAAAGTGTATTTCGTTGCCGTTGCGAAGACGACACCCAGCAAATCATGCGCCAAAAAGGGAGTTTCTGCATGCACAATGCAGTGACATTGACAGTCCTCAAGTCACGCGAACCATCCTCCCCAGGGGGCCTACACGCAGACCCTTCCTAAGTTTCCCATCTAATCGTTGAGCTGCTGTTGCCCCTTTGACTCCGATATAGACCCTCAAAGGGCACAGCGCTCAAGTCCTAGAAGATGACTAGTGAGGCTTTAAAAAGACTTCAGGAGCATTTCCATATTAAAAGTATGGAACCCTTCACGAATTTGAATGGCATCCTGGAGCAGGGACCACGCTCATCTTCTCTAGATCACCCCATCTTAGTCTAGGCGCCCCTTCTCCTGGCTTTATCGCTGCTTCGGCTCAGACACCCCCAAAGGCTGCGGCTTCCACTTCGCCCCTCCGCCCCTCCACCGGCCCAGCTCCCACTCCTGGAAAGGGCCCGGATCTGCACAGAGCCCGCCCCCAAGCGTCAATCGATTTCGATTTGTTCCAGTGTCTGGGGGCCCGTGAGAAAATGCCTTGTCTATTGGCTGATGGCATCGGAAAGGCCACGCAGGGAGGGGGCCCGGGTACCGGCACCCGCGCGCTGCCTTCTGGGACTCGTAGTCTCGGACGCTCCCTTCCCGGGGTGGCGCCCGTCGGACTCCGCGTCCCAGCATTCCCCGCGCGAGCCCTGGAGCACTTCCGCCCTGTTGTGAAGTGGGTGTCTCGGTGGGTGAGTGCGGGTGGCGGGGCGGGGGCAGCTGGGACTCGGGGTCTGGGCTGGGAGACTTTGGAGAAGGTGGTGGCACAGGGGTCAGGGGAGGGGAGTAGAGAGGGAAGAAAGGAGCCTTCGTGCGCGCGCGCGCGTGTGTGTGGTGGGGGGGCCGGTCCGAGGATGAAGCGTCCGCAGATGGGCAGGGTCACAGAGGGGTCAAGGATGAGGAGGGAGATCGAGGGTCCTGGGAATGAGGAGGGTCCACCGGCGAGGGGACGGGGGGTGGGGTGGGGTGGTGGGGGATTTTGGAGGTGGGAGAATGAGAGCAGGGTCTGGGGACCCAGAGGGAGGGAGAGAGGGCCCTGGGAAAAAGTGAACATCAGAGGGCCCCAGGCTTGAAGCCTGGCCTGAAAGAGAATGTTTCCACTGCTGCCTACCCACCTAGAGCCCCACTGCCTAATCTGGGAGCCGCTCACACTCTGTCATGGTGTTACCTCTGGATCCCAGCGGTGGGAATGCCCATTGTGCCCCGTCGTCGTCGCCGCCGCCGCGGTGCCCCTTTCCTTCCTTGTTCCTGGTGGAAGGGCATGGCCTCATCATCCACTTCACTCATCTGCCCTCCCCGCTTCCTCGGCAGCCCCCCACCTCTGCATCAAAAACCAAGCCAGTGAGCTTCCCTAGATTCTCTTGTGCAAAGTAGGACAGGGTCCAGTAGGATTTCCAGGCTTGTGATCCCCAGGCCTTAACTAGGAGGCCCCTCAGGGAAGTTCAGACTCCGAGCCTTTGGTTAGTAGTCAAGGTTAGCCGTCAAGAGCTTAAGGGCACTATTAAGGGCACTAAACCGCAGGGCCGCCTTTATTTCCCAAACACAAACCGAATTCACCGCCATTGAGTCGATCCCAACTCAGAGTGAGCCTAAGGAAATTAAAGTCACACTGGAGTCGGTGCTTAAGGACAGGGTAGGACTACCCCTATGGGATTCTGAGATTACATCTTGGTAGAGAATGAGAGAAGATAGTATTCGAAGGGAACCCAGTTATCTTCCCGCTCCCAGTCCTAGAGCAGGGTATACAAGAGGTAGTAGGTGGAGATGAGGATGCAAAGGGCAATGGAGGGGTGGGGTGGGGAGAAAGCCTCACCGTTCCCCTCTACATCCAGGGGGGTCTGCTTTCGCTTTCCTTCATATATTTTAGATCTGCTTTTCATTAGTGGCGCTTTTACTCTTCCCATCCCCCTAACCTGCACACACATTGCAGCTGGTATGACCTAGTTAACCGGCAAATCGGACTGTGCCTTCTTCTGCTTCTCAGGGGTGCTTCATTAGCTCCCATCCCAACAGAACTGAGTTCCAAATCTTAGCTTGACACCCACAACCCTTCAAACACGTTTCTAACCCCCCTGGCATCCTCATCTTCAACTATTACCTCTTGTATACCCTTTTCTAGGACTACGAAGGTTCTCTCTATTTCCTGGGTAGATGATTTGATTCTCTCTGATTAGAATACTCTCTTCTCTCATTCTCTACCAAGAGAACCACTCTGCCCTTAAGCACCAACTCGTGTTTCTTTGTTTAATTTCCTTAGGTAGAACAAGGCCCCCTTCTCGCCCTGGATCCCTCTCTCGCCGTATTTGCCATGTTGGCTTATGATTTTCTGTGACCCATTTCTTTCACTTGAACATCTCCAGGGCATTGGAGCCACTTCAATTTCCCCAGTGCCCAGCTCCAAGCAGGCATCAGAAAATGTTGGGTGAATGTGGGCACAAGGACTGTCCAGGGTGAGCTTTACTGTGTCAGATTTGAGGAGTGCTACTTGCAGTGCATTCCCAGGGACCTGAGCTTCAGTCTGCAGCCTGAGGCTGGTTAATTGCTTTGGGGAGATTAAGCCAAGGGTGGCAAATTCAAAGCCAAGGGTGCTGCTACTTCCCCTGTGTCTCTATCAGTGATGCCTAATTGATCACATCAGTTTGAAGGGACTGGGCGTCCTCAGCAGTATAATTGAGGAAGCCACTTGGGTTCATTCAAATTGGCCTTTAAGTAAAACCTTTTTAACTTAAGTTCCAGCTGCTTGAACTTAGCCTGGATCAGCAGACAAATGGACCCGACAGCCTCTGGGAGCCCCCAATTTCATTTTCTTTGGCATGGGCCCTGGGTGGATCTTCTCTTCCAACCCCACTGTTCCTGAGGTGAGCTGGTCTTGCCGACATCTATCCATCACTACCCCAGGAGCCAGGGTGCTAGTCAGCCTCCCCCTGCTTGTGATGGGATCCTGACTTTTTGACAGAAGTCATAACGTATCCCTCATGGTTTGGGAGAACCTGGACCACCTGGCCTCTTCCTGGATATGAATTGAGATCACTGCTCACCGTGGACAAAGAGGCAGCTTGTCTGAATGAAGCTCACCAGCATCCTTTATTCAGCCCTTATGGGGTTCCCAACAATTTTGAGTTGGTTTTCAACCTTTAGAATTCCACAGTTGCAGCTTCTGGAAAACTTGGAAGGCCTGGAAACACTGGGCTCACGTTTCCGTTCGGAAGCTGTAGGTAGCTGTGCCCCTTCCCAGGCCGCTGCAGTCATTTCTATTGCCTGCCTGGTCCCTGGACCTTTTATATTTGTAGCCCTTAGTTGGTCACATGACCTGCCCAGAGTCACGTGGCTGATCATTGGCAGGAGAGGACCTGGAACCCACATCTGCTCTCTCCCGCCTTAATCGTCTCTCCACTCTCCCTTGCCATCTTCTCGGGGCTTTGGGTGACAGGCAGACCTGGAGGAGGCTCGATTGTGTGGCCAGACACCAGGGATGCAGAAAATACACCTGGCTTTAGATCCCAGCTCTGCCACTTGCTACTTGTGTAACCTTAAACAAGTGCTTTTTAGTCATAGAAAATTCAGTCTCCCAAAATGCAGTTTGAGTTTGGTGTAGTCGTACGTTACAGGATGATTGTCTTCTACAATCAGCACCGGAGGCAGGGAAAAAAGCAAACCACATTCAGTAAGCTTACAAATGCTTTGGCGAGGAGCGCTGTCAGAAATGAGCTCACTGGCTTTCAGGGAGCCCACCAGGATGGTTGGGTTCTCTTGGTTGAGCATTGAAGAGTTGGCTTGTGTTTCGGAGCCACGTTGTGTGAAAGATCTGGCTCCTGCCCTGGAAAGAGAGGCCCGAGGGAACAAAGGTTAAGTGGGCGCTTTCTGGTCTTGGTCTGGAGTTGGGTATGTGTGAGTTTTAGGCCAGTGCAATGCAACACAGCACGAATGATGCTTGCTTGTTCCCAGGACTCAGTGAGAGGAGGAGCGTAGAGCCCCAGACACCAGGCTGGGCACTTCCTGGGCACTCAGTTAAGCAGTACTTGGGGGAGGTGCTGATCCTGTGGCAGCCTGGTAGTCCTGGTTGTTTTAGGACTGAGGATTGCTCTTGTCCTTTTGGTCTGTTCTCTGTGAGCTGCTGCCCCTCTTCCTACAATAGGATGTGGTTTGTATCTGTCTAAGAAAAGAGTGGGGAAAACTGGTGAGAGGGGTGGCCCCTGAGGCTTTCTGATTTCTACTGGAAACTAGCCTTAGGATTTCAAATCTTCCCAGCAGAACTTTATCGAAGACCTTGGGCCTGGTGAGACAGCAATTGGCTGTTAGCTGTAACACCCTCTCTGTGTAGGAGCACCTACTTCTTTGTAGATGAATGCTCTCTCACTACTGTACCTTCCATGAAGTTAGGACTCTGTCCTGTCACCATTGGGTCTCTAGCTGGTCCTCCCTCAGTCAGGCACAGCGTGGAGTGGGCGCTCTACAATGACACACTGGTGAATGAGTCTTCATGTGAGAGCGTGACACACAGATGCTTGGATTACCACATGAGTCGCACCGCTGCTAAAGAAGGAGGTCCCGTGAGAAATGAATTCTTTAGCTTCCTATTAATGACTGGCCTTGCGTAGCCCAGGAGGCTTTTGTTGCACGACATTTACCATTTTGACAAAAGCCATCAAGACTTTAAATGGCCCTGTTATTTATCAGACACTGAGTTGGGCAATGTGCATACAAAAATGAGTAAACTAGAGTCTGGGACTTCGAAATACATCTAGTGCGGTTTTCAGATGCTGGGATTCGTAACCACACAAACAAAACTAAACCAAAAAACTTGAACTCACTGCCTTGGGGTCAATGCCAACTTCTACTGACTATCAGGCAGGATAGAATTGCCCCTGAGTTCACGAGACCAAGTCCCTCGGAGAGACGGGATTTGAACTGCTGACCTTGGGCATCGCTACCCCATGTGTAACCACTACACCCCTGCGCTCGCATGGGGTCGTACCGGTATTAGAGGCGGGAACTGCCTGCTGCAGGGACACAGGGTGGAGAGAAAACTGTGGGGAAGCAGGAGCTGGGCCGCGCATGACGAGAGCGTGTCGAGAAACTTCATGGGGGAGTGGCTTTTGCAGTGACAGCCGAAGGATGGCAGGAAGACTTTCCCATGGTCTGAGGGGCTTCAGAAAAAGGCCATCATCGCTCAGTTTCATTTTCCACCAACTTTTTGGAGCCCCTGCATATATGGAGAGCTATAGGACAAGGCTTTTAGTTCTCAGCACTCTTGCTTGTTTTCTGGCAGCCTCGCGTCAGATGGCCCCAGATGCAAACGCCACCCTTCCTCTATTCACAGTCAGCTGTGTCAGGCAGTGGGTAGCTCCCTTTGGCCCTAAATCATCTCGACTTGTTGGGAACGACACACAGAGGACCAGTGTAAGATAACCCAGCACAGGGTGTTCAGGATCCTCAAGCCCAGTCCTTCACTCAGCAAATATGTACTGAGAGCCTCCTGTGACTAGTGCCCTCTGCTTCTAGCAGGGGCCAACCCAACCCGCCAGCCAAACCCACTGCCATCCAGCCAATGCCGACTTAGAGGGACCCGACAAGACAAGGTAGAAGTAGAACTGCCCCAGTGTGTTTCTGAGACTAACTCTGCATGAGAGTAGAAAGCCTCATTTTTCGCCCGCAGAGCAACTGGTGGTTTCGAACTGCTAACTTGAGGGTTAGCAGTTCAATGCATTATTCGCTACGCCACCCAAAGTGGAGGAGTAAGCTATATTCTTTGCCCTCCGTGAGGTTATAATCGTAGCAAGTGTCAGGCAGAACTAAGGTGGAAATAAAGAGGAGAAAGGTGTTCCTTCAGGTGTGCACAGGAGGGTCATTCCATTTTAAATCTGTTGTTTGCGGAAATGGGTTTGTTGTAATCTTCGGTTCATGGCAATCAATCACAAGTTCCCTGTTGAGTGATTCCCAAGTGTGCGAAGCTCCATGCTGGGTTCTTCAGGAAGTCCGTGGTCTAGTGGAGAAGGTGAGTGCGATAAGATCTGATCATGATTACGGTAGAGGAAACAGGGGCTATGGAAGTTTATAAGGAGCCCAGGGGGTGCCGTGAGTTACATATTTGGCTGCTAACCTCAAGGTCAGCAGTTTGAAACCACCAGCTGTTCCCTGGGAGAAAGCGGAGACTTTCTACTCTAGGACAGAGTTACAGTCTTGGGAACCCACATGGGCACTTCTCCTTTAGGGCTGCTATGGGTTGGAACAGACTCAGTGGCAACGAGTTTGAGGTTTGAGGTGGAAGCTTATGACTGAAGACTGAATCTTATTTTAGGAAACAGGGAAGACCTCTTGGGAAATGTCCAAATTAGGCTCAGGCCTGGCTAAGGGAAGAAGTGGGGGTCATTTTCTGGGGGAGATCATAGCCTGTGGGTGGGTTCAGGGGGCTGTGCACCCTGACTAGTGGGAGCAAGGTAGAGAGCGGGGACTGGAGCCTGGGAAAGATTGTCTGCCCATACTGAGGGAAATGAGAGGCCACTGAAAGTGTTTTGCAGGGAAATGACGTGGCCACCTTGTGAGCTGGTTTGAATGTTGTGTGAAGAAGGAACCAGGGGCTGGAATAGAGCAGAGAAGTGAGTTTGCAGGTTGATCACGTGATGCTTCCCTGGCCTGAGGAGGTAATTGTTTAGAAAAGGCACAAGTTCGTAGGAGAAACTGATGACGTCAGCTTTTGAACCATTGGATTTCACGTGTCCGCGGGACTGTCAGGTGGAAGTGCCCTGTCGCTGGTTGGGTGTGGGGACTCTGGAGGCATGGAACCAGGCCCTGGCTGGCGTTCTGGGAGTCGTCAGAATAGAGATGGCGGGACAGCCAAGTAGAGGATGGCCCGGGCATGAACTGCGAGAGAAAGAGATCTGCATGGAGAGCACTCTCAGAGGACGTGTGAACAGGCAGGAAGAAAGGCCCTCTGGAGAGGATGACATTTGAAGCTCAGCTGAGAGAAAGTTCGACTTCGGATGTGTGCCCAAGGGAGGAAGGTGACCCCGGGCCCGGTCCTGGAGGCTTTGAATGCTCAGCTAAGGCTTGCGGGCTTGTCCCAAGATGGTTTAATTGTGTGCGGTGTGTCTTGGGGTGTCCAGGCCGCTAGCTTTGGTGGCAGGTTGTGGTTTTACTTGGCACCCCTCGGACTCCACGCATGGAGGTGGGAGGTACGGGAGAGTGGAGACGAGACTCCTGGCCTCGCTTCCTCACGGTGGTCTTTGTCTTTCTGCCTTTAGATCCTTGGGGACAGACGCCTCTCTCAGGACCCGCCTGGGCAGGTACACGCTACATGCAGGAAGAAGTCAGAAGAGGACAGTCCAGCAGAAGTGAGGCGCCCAGACTGCACCATGGCTGTGGCCCTGGAATTCCAGGCCCAGGACTCTCCCTTGCCAGAGCCTGAGGGACTCCTGATCGTGAAACTGGAGGAAGACTCCTGGGGATCAGAGCCCAAATCCCAGGAGGAGGAACCCCAGCAGCCGGTCCCTGTCTCAGAGGCCTCCCGCCAGCGCTTCAGGCAGTTCCAGTACAGGGATGCAGCTGGGCCCCACGAGGCCTTCAGCCAGCTCTGGGAGCTCTGCTGCCGCTGGCTGAGGCCCGAGATCCATCTCAAGGAGCAGATCCTGGAGCTGCTGGTGCTGGAGCAGTTCCTGAAGATCTTGCCCAGGGAGGCCCAGAGCTGGGTGCAGGCCCGCCACCCCGAGAGCGGTGAGGAGGCGGTGGCCTTGGTGGAGGATTGGCATCGAGAGGCCCACGCCGCACAGCAGCAGGTGAGGCCACAGTCTGTTCCCCAAGGAGCAGGTCGGGCCGGGCAGCCGAGCTAGGCTAGTGTGAGTAGGGTACTAATTGCCAGTATCAGGATGGAATAATGGAAGAAATGGTCTTACCTGTACTGAGCACTTACAATGTAGCAATCACTGCTCAGAGCTGTGACCTCCCATCAAGTCTGTCCTGACTCAAGTGACCCTGTGTGCAGTAGACAAGCTATTGTGTGGTCCCGTGCCATCCATCCTCACAGCCATGCCTCTATTTGATCGCTCTTTGTGGCTGACCCTCTACTCTACCAAGCATGATGTCTTTCCCTCGGAGAAGATGTGCACAGAAGGCGGGACGAAGGCTCATCATCCTCCCTTCTAAGGAGCATTCTGGTTGTGCTTATTCCCACACACAGGTGTTTGTTTTTCTGGTAGTCCGTGGTAGATCCACGGTTCTTCTCCAACACCCCGATTCAAGTGCGTCAATTCTGTGCTCTTCTTTACTCACTGTCTCGGTCTCGTGTGCATATGAGGCGATTGAAAATGCCATGGCTTGGTCCAGGTGCACCTTAGTCCTCTGCCCTCTACCACTTGTACAGCAGATCTAGCCAGTGCAAAGCGCCATCCTTTGATTTCTTGACTGCAGCTTCTATGGACTTTGATTTTGGATCCAAGTATAATGAAATCCTAGACTTTTCCCATCTTTTCTCTGATTATTATTACTATTGTTCAGTTTGGAGGATTTTCCTTTCCATTAAGTTGTAATCCATACTAAGTCTTTGACCTTTATCAGTAAGGGCTTCCAAGTCCTCTAGCTTCCAGCAAGCAAGGTTCTTTTAAGTCCTTGGCATGTAGTAACTCATTTAATCTCCTCGACAGTTTAATGAGCTAGATACTGGTACCCTAATTATTTCTGATGCAGAAAACTGAGGCCGAGAGAAGCTAAGTAATTTGCCCCGGATCATCACATGTGAGAAAATTTGAACCCACACAGCCTGACTCTCAGGCAGCACTTGTAACCAGGACTCTAAAACAGCATCTAGTGTGTTGTCCATGTAACAGTGTTTTCACAAATGAGATCGCTTTGGATTCTGACAGCAGTTAATGTAGATAGACAGAAACCATGTCATTGCCCCCATTTTGCAGATGAGACCAAAGCCTCCCCTCACTCAGACAGTGAGCCAGAGGCCTCCGCCCCCCTCCATGCTTAGCTTCGAAGGCCCATCATTCTGTCCTCTACACAACAGATGCCTCATCTGCAAACCATAGATTTAAAAACACCTCTGAGTTGGTCAGCGCAATGGAGATAGGATGTTTATTGGACGAGCACTCACTGTGTCAGACAGGGGCCCTGGTGGTTCATTGGGTTAAGCACTGAGCTGCTAAGTCGAAAGGTCGGCAGTTTGAACACGTCAGCTGCTCTGAGGGAGAAAGATGAAGCCATTTGCTTCTGTCGAGATTTGCAACCTCAGAAACCGTATGGAGCCTTCGGCTCTGACTTACAGGGTCACCGTGCATCCGATCGACTCCATGGTAGTCGGTTTAGTTTTGGTTCCTCTCACCAAGGAGTCTCTGGGTAGTGTCTAGGGCTAAGTGCTGGGGTACTCATCACAAAGTTGGCCATCGGAAGCTTCCCTTCAGAAGCACCTCAGAAGAAAGTCTTGGTGACCTGTTTTAGAAAGGCCACGGCCCGAAAACCCTGGTGGGTACGTACGGTTCTATTCTAACACATAGGGTCGCCAAGAATTGGGATCAACCTGACAGCAATTGCGTTTGTTTTAATGACCGTTTTTTAACTGGGTGAATGGACGCTGAGAGGTCAGTAGCTGATCCAACGGTAAGCCGAGATCAGGAAAACCAAAGTGCCATGGATGGATTGGACAGTCACGGTTTACCAGAGACCTTTGAAGACCCATTATATGATTCTGGTGTGACACACCTCGAATCCTCTTTGAGGCTGGTGTGTGCAGAACAAGGCCTGTGCTTGGCTTCCAGCTACCCGGAGCCCATATCTCGACATACTCCTGCTGCCCTCCTTTGGTCAGCTAGTAAAAATTCTGAGCTGCATCCCACTGGGGGAAATGGTCAGGCTCAAGAAGCATCCTTTGTAAATGGTAGGGTTTCTCTCTGGGTCAAAGACCTTGATACAGATTTGAGTTTGGAGGAAGAAAGTCCGCAGCTTTTCTTTTCGGATTCCTTTACAAATTGATGGAGGATACAGAACGCGTAACACGAGGGGCCTCACAAAAGTCCCTGCCTATCTACTTGTAGAACTAAGTCTGAGCGAGGTGTACCATTTTTCATTAGGCCGTTCTACCTCCCCCATCATTTCTTTAATAAAGGGCTCTTTGTCCTAAGTGGCAGTGAAGGACCAAACGGAAGGCAGGTGAAGAATTAGAGACTCAGAGATGAGAATTGCCTTAAATCAAGGTCTTAAATGATTCTTCCTTCATCTGAAAAAGGATGGGGTTGGACTAGACCAAAGGTTCTCAAATCATGCCTGGTGAGCAGACTCAAGGTTGAACTGCTTCTAAAAATGAGAAAAATAAGGTAATGGAGTCTTTATATGTTTCTCCTCTGATCCTCATTTTCAGTTTTTCTGCATGTTCCCAAGTACTCACAGAGGTCTAAACGAAAGGGTAGGTAGCCAAGGAGCTCGGGTAGAGGGGCATATATGTTATATGTAGCTCATTATTTTATATGTGCGACACACAGCTTCCATTTTTTCTAAGTAAAGGTCATACTAATGGAGTGGAGTAGCTTCATTGTGTCCCCCAGAAGGACCACCTAGAAAAGGTCAGGAGGTACCAGACTAAAGGGGCAGTATGCCATTTTCCTTCAAGGGCTCCCAGCGTGTTTAACCTGTGGTCATCCTCCAGCAGAAGCTCTCTCCCTGTCAGCTGCACAGGCATTTGTGATGGATTCTGGGTTCGTCCCTCTTCCTCCTAAGTCTCCTCTGCTGCTGTCGAGTCAGTGCCAACTTAGGGACCCTCTGTTCTACAGAAGGGAACATTACCTGGCCCTGCGCCGTCCTCACAATTGTTCTGAGGTTTGAGCCACTGTGCCAATCCATCTAGCTTTCTCTTTTCGCTGCCCCTCTACTTCAGCAAGCATGACGTCCAGAGACTGGTCTCTCCTGACATGTCCTTGCCATTCTTACCTTTAAGACATTCTGACTGTACTTCTTGCAGGAGCCCTGGTGCCATAGTGGTTAGGTGTTGGGCTGCTCATTGCATGATCAGCAGTTCGAAACCATTTAGCTGCTCCATGGGATAAAGACAAGGCTCTCTGTTCTCCTAAAGAGTTATCGTCTCAGAAACCCACAGGGGCAGTTCTGCCCTGCCCTATAGGGTTGCTATGAGTCAGAATCAACTCAAGGGCAGTGAATTTTGGTTGTGGTTTTTGGTAATAACCTTGCTATCAGCCAAGGCCATGGGCTTCCTTGAGGCAAAGTGATCACTGAGGATATGGGTACTGTAGCAAGTGTGGTGAAGAAGTCAGATGGGACCCAGCTGTCACAGAGAGTAGCTCCTGGGGTCTTACAGTTTTGCTTTAAAGCAAGCAGTCATATAAGTGAGGGTTCAGCTAAATCTACTTGGAAGAAGGACACCAGCGTATGTGATCCATGAATTGTACATAATAAAATCCAAACCCATAGGAGGGATGCTATTAGAGCTTGGATTCTGAACACTTGGTTGTCAGAAGGCTGTGGATGACATTGAAAGCCCCGTTGCCGATGGATTACTACAGTTGTCGTTAGGTCAAAATGTGACACCTTATCATTTGATCGCCCTCTCGATCCAGTGTCGAATTCTTCCAATTTTAAATATTTTTTGCTTTGCTTTTTTATTGAGATTTTTTGCTGTTTCATCCTGTCATTGTTGTTGGGGGTCTTTGTTTGTGTTTTGTGTTGATTTTGTAAGTTTTTCTGTATAGGAAACCCAGGATAGGTAAACCTCTAGATACAACAGCTGGATTAATAGGTTCCAAAGGGACATGGCAGGGAAGTTGGCAGGTGACAGGGAGCTAACGAGGACGAGGACGAAACCGTGTCCTGGAATTGATGGTGGTGATGGTCGCACAACTCTTATGAACACGAGGGAACGATTGAAATGTATGATAAGTGAATTGTATGTCATTGAAACTGTTAAAATTAATCAACTAATTGATTTTTATAAATTTAATGCGAATAATTCCAACTAGGCCATTCCATTTTTCATGTTCTCCTGTTCTGAGTTAAAGTGCTATATTTATTTACCCTTCTGATTTTAGGATTCAGTGCACCTTTTAAAAAACACATACATGATTTTAAAGTTCCGGGTTTGATTCTTTGTCTTCTTTTTAATCATATTTACATGAAATTTGTCTTTACCTTTCAGCAGGGATATTTAGGGTTGATAAAAGCAGACTGCCTCATCTTCCTTCTGGAGAGCTGCTGGTGGATTCTAACTGCTGACCTCTTGGTTGGTTAGTGGCCAACCACTAAATCACTGCATAACCAATGCTGCTTTGTTTGGTGAAGGCAGCAGGATGGCTCTATGGCCATCGTTTACATCATCTTTGGGTCTTAAAACTGCCTGTTAGCTTTTGCACCATGATTACCCTCATGATAGCACCCCTACCCTACCAAAGTGGGTCTCGCGGAACTGATGTCTGGGAATTTTGGCTGTCCGTAGGAACTGGAATCATATGCAGAGACCAGGTCCTTAAAGGCAATGCAGGAAACACAGAGCTTCCAGCTGCAGCCGGCGGACCACTGGCCTGAGGGACAGGCTCAAAAGCAGTGGACGAAGAATCCAGACTCTGACCTTCCCAAGTATCTCAACGCCAAGGTGGTGCCACAGTCCTTGCAAGAGAGCAGTGAGTACCAGAACCAGAGCAACGCCAGGAAGAGGGCCCTCTCCGTTGCAGAGAGGGCTGGGTGCTAGAGAAGGGTGCCCGGGGAGGAAGCCTGTACACATTTCAAAGCAAGGTGTAGGGTGTAGATCCCTTTCTGATAGATGGACGGAGAAGCTAGGTAAGTAAGTCAGCCCTGGAGAAGAGGAGGAAGCTGCCAGGGGCCCCGCTGTCCTTGTAGTTATGGCTCAGGTACAGGCTGCTGCCCTGCAGGGTGGGGATTGTGGGGGTTCAAGACTGGCCTCTCACATGACATCGCTGAGGCAGCTTAGGAGGTGGACACTGTGCCAGAGAAATCCAAGGAGAACTCTGCCCTGGCTACAGGGGTAGTAGCCTCAGGTAGTTCCACGCATGACTTCCAGAAAGCTGCACCTGGCGGGGCTCTTTGGAATCCGGAGTTTGAGTTTCAGAGATTTTTTTCCTCCTCAGCTGTTCTCACTCCCAGAGCCTCTGCTCTCCTGAAGATGGGACACATTAGCGATTGGGAGGTGGCCCCTGAATCCCAGGTAAGCTGCTGCTTGCTCTTCCTTGGCTGCCAGCACTAAGCTCCTGTGCTCTCCTCCCTCCCACGGCCTCCCCTCAGCAAAGGGCGCAGGCTGGGAGGCTGCCCCTCCCCATGCCCAGCTCCTGCTCCTTGGCCTTATGCTGCGGCCTCACCAGCCTCACTGTGGAACCTTGTGTTGGGCTCTCTCTCCAGGAGCTGGGGGTGGGGGCGGGGATGATGAGGCAGGCTGTTAAAAGGCCAGTGGCCTTTGAGTCGCTACACTTGTCATCTGTGTTCTCTTGTGCATCTCACAGAAAGCGCTGGGTCCGAGGGAAGAGGAGTCCCTCAAGGAGCCCCCAAGAGGAGACTGTGGGACCAGCGTGTCCTTGGGTAAGGAAATATGTCCCCTGGAGAAGAAAGCCACTCCATGCCCAGAGAGGGTCTCCTCACTTCCTCAAGGCGGAATTCAGTGACTGGAGGAGCCGTTCCCTGTGTGGGCCCGTCTCCTGGGAAGAAGCTCATGGCCTCGCTTGCCATTGGCATCTCTCTTTTGGCCATGAAGCAAGACAGCTTTCCCGTGAAGCTGATCCTGAGGCCGGCGGAGCAGAGACAAAGAACCTGGCTCTGAGCTACTTCTGTTGTAGGGAGAGCAGTGCTTCCCAAGACAGGTGAAAGCGCCCGTTGGCGGGGGCTCTGGAATGATCCAGGGGGCTTACCAAAACAGATACCTGCACTTTATCCGGGATTATGGGCCACAGGACAAAAGTTTTTTGTTTTTTCTTTTTAAAATCATTTCATTGGGGGCTCATACAACTCATCACAATCCATCCATCCATCGATGTGTCGAGCACATTTGTATATTTGTTGCCCTCATCATTCTCAAATCATTTTCTTTCTACTTGAGCCCTTGGTATCAGCTCCTCATTCCTCCTCCCCTCCCCCCCACCCCCATGAACCTTTGATAATTTATAAATTATTATTATTTTGTCATGTCTTACACTGTCCGACATCTCCCTTCACCCACTTTTCTGTTGTCCACCCCCCAGGGAGTGGGTTATATGTAGATCACTCTGATTGGTTCCCCCTTTCTACCCCACCTTCTCCTTCCCCTCCTGGTATCTACTCTCATTATTGGTCCTGAGGAGTTTATCTGTCCTGGATTCCCTGTTTCCAGTTCCTATCTGTACCAGTGTACATCCTCTGGTCCAACCGGATTTGTAAGGTAGAATTGGGATCATGATAGTGGGGGTAGGGGGAGGAAGCATTAAAGACCCACAGGAAAGTTGTATGCTTCATTGTTGCTATACTGCACCCTGACTGGCTCATCTCTCCTCCCCTTCTGTAAGGGGATGTCCATTTGCCTACAGTTGGGCTTTGGGTCTCGGCTCCACGCTCCCCCTCATTCACAATGATAAGATTTTTTGTTCTTTGATTTTTTTGTTCTTTGATCCCATTGACACCTCATGATCACACAGGCTGGTGTTCTTCCATGTGGGCTTTGTTGCTTCTCTGCTAGATGGGCATTTGTTTATCTTCAAGCCTTTAAGACCCCAGATGCTATGTCTTTTGATAGCTGGGCACCATCAGCTTTCTTCACCACCTTTGCTTGTGTACCCGCCTTGTCTTCCGTGATCATGTCGGGAAGGTGAGTATCATGGAATGCCAGTTTAATAGAACAAAGTGTTCTTGCATTGAGGGAGTACTTGAGTCGAGGCCCAATGTCCAAGTGCTACCTTAATACTAAACCTATAAATATGTGCACATAGATCTATTTCCCAGTTGTCATATATAAATATATTTACATACCTGTGTGTTTATAGTCTATAAATGCCCTTTGTCTCCTAGTTCCTTCCTTTATTAACTTTTACTTTCCTCTGTCCCAGTATCATGTTCAGCCTTCATTTGGGTTTCAGTAATTCCTCTCGGTTACATTGCCCTTGATCCAGCTCTACCAGGCCTCTTACACCTTCCTTGCCATCGATTTTGGATCACTTGTTCCTTTGTCCCTGTGTTTGTTAACACCCACTTCCTCCCACCTCTCCTCAAACTGTCACTCCCATTGTTTTCTCCTCCAGATTGTTTATCCCACCTATCTTATCTAGATAGACCTTCAGCGATAAGAATATGCACATAAAACAAGACAGAGCAAAACAAAGCAACAAAAGGAAACAAAAAAACCAATGACAAAAGAAGCCTGTGAATAGTTCAAGGTCTGTTTGTTGACCTTTAGGAGTATTTTCCAGTGGAATCTGATGGGGTGCCATGCCTGGCTCCAAAGTATTTTTGGTTTTCCCTGGGGACTCTGTTGTTCTGTTCCCTTGCTGTTCGTTGCACGCCCTTAGTGTTTTGCCTTGGTGTGGTAGGATCAGATTGGGTGCAATTCCCACAGTATGTCTCCAGTGTTGTCCCCCATAGGGCTGTGGGTCAGTGAGGGGTGTCATATCTCGTAGTGGGGCGGGCCCTATGGTCTCTCTGTGCATTGGCTGCTCTGAACAGGAATATCATCCTCAAGGCTTGGTGGGCCAGGATGTGCTCCACTCTCTCTTCCTCCCCCTTCATTTGCTCCTGTGTGCTCTGATCAGACATGTCCCTCTCCTGGAGCTGTAGCTTCAGTGCTGTCTTCTGGGGCGGCTGTCCACGTAGTTGGGATTGGGGCTGGTCCCTCAGACCTCTCTATTGGTTCCCAGCTTCATGTCAGTATGTTGCATTCACACCTTGGAGCACCGGGTTAAAGTCTGGGCCCTCTTTCCCTGTGGAGATATAAACAGTACCCTCCCCTTTAGTGGGTTAGTGCCCTGTTTCCCCACTAACCATGTCTTTTTTCCCCCCCTTTTTTCTTTTTTCCCCTCCTTTTCAGTTGGCTACCGCATGTATCCCTGGCTTTTGTCTGGCCCCTTCCATATTTCCTGGACCTTGCCCCAGGGATGTTTGTATACAGTAACTTTTTCCCTGTGCCCCTTTGCATTTTTGTTGTTGTGAAGCTTACCTCAGTGGACTCATGTTTAGGACAGCAGTTTTCCATTGCCAGAGGGGTGCTAAGTACGGTTTCTTTGTTTGTTTTTATGAAAAGGGGCTGGTCGGCCGAATAAGTTTGGGAACCCGTGGTTTACAGCATGTACCCCATCTGGAATGAGAAAATGAGTTTCCTTACTTTTAAAACCAGTTGGCTATGTTTAAAGGCCTGCAGTCTCCAAAGCTCCCCGCAGTAACTAATTGGAGGAAAGTGGATGGAAAGCGTTGAGAGCTCAAAGGGGAGCCAGGATCATCCCGTTCAGCATTTCCCCACGTTTCTCCCTCCGAGCCCCATTTCTCCAGCGGCAGTGTGAGAAAAGGGGTTCTGTTGTCCAGTAAGTGGCCGGCAAGCTTCAAGTACCTGACCGTGATCATGAGTGGGATCTGCCTTGGTCCCTTATTTTCTCTCACTCACGTGCCTTCCCTCATGTTGATCCTAGACACCTCCGAGAAAGAGCTCCTTACTTGGCTTCCCATGTAGAGGTGCCCATAGGAAAGGCGACTGTGCTGGTCATAGGGACTTTGGGCACATCTTTGTGGTTTAGCCTATCTGTCTCCTAGACTTGATTCCCTAGAGCCAGCCCTTGAGGGATGACTCCTCCGAGACAGCAGCCTGGGGCCCTGACCCTGGACCATGATGAATGTATTGAAGTAGTGAATGCTAGAATCCACCCTGTCCCCTTCTAGTCAGGCACGCTTTGTCCCTGTCACCCCGTGTTGGCTGCATAGCACGGCTCTTGTTCTTGTCTCTGGCGTTCCCTAGACCCGACAGAGCCATGCGTCTTAAAGCAGCCGCCATGGAGTTAGTTCAGACTCATGGCAGCCCTGTAGGATCTAGTAGAACTGCTCCCCATGGTTTCTAGCACTGCAGAACGTGACAGGGGCAAACAGCTTTCTCTTTTTGCCCACAGAGGAGCTGGCGGGCTTGAGCTCCCGGTTGGTTAGCAGCTCAGCGTAACGCACGGAACCACGAGAGCTTGAGTCGAGAGAATGCTAAACAGAGTGGCTCTCACTGTCTCACAGCCATTTGAAGGAATGACATGGGCATTTCTCCTCTGCCTTTTGTAGGGAGAGGAGCAAGCCTCAGGGACAAGCACCGCTCACCCAACGACTTTCCGCAATCATGTTTCTTCCTTTTTTCTTACAGGTGTTCTCAGTTCAAAACCAAATAGCATCTGCCGGCGGGAGCAAGCACCAGCATTTTGGGGGACAAGCCTGATAACCTCTGGGAAGAGGAGCACGGCAGGCGATTACAGCGTGGGTCATGAGCAAGCGCGACCAGCTCAGGCCCTGGCCTGGAGGGCCGCAAGGCCCTGGGATGAGCAGTACCAGTGTGCCGTGGAGGACATGAAGGTGTCAGGTGTGCACTGGGGCTATGAGGAGACCAAGACTTTCCTGGCAATCTTGAGTGAGTCTCCTTTCTCTGAAAAGCTCCGGACTTGTCACCAGAACCGACAGGTGTATCGAGCCATTGCAGAGAGACTAAGGGCACGGGGCTTCCTGCGGACCCTGGAGCAGTGTCGCTACAGGGTCAAAAATCTCCTACGGAACTACCGGAAAGCCAAAAGCAGCCGCCCGCCCGGGACCTGCCCCTTCTACGAGGAGCTGGAGGCCCTGGTGAGGGCCCGGTCGGCCATTAGAGCCACAGAGCGCCCAGGAGGGGCTGTGGCACTCCCTAGGCTGGGGGATAGTGACGTGGAGGTAGATGAGCAGGAGGAAGGGGGCTGGGAGCCTGAGGAAACAGCAGAAGACTGTAATGGTGATGACCTGGCCAGTGATGAATCCGTGCCGGGGCCCAGGATCCCGGGGGGCCCGGCTCTCTTCCAGAGTCGTATTGGTAAGAACATGCGAACATGGGGGTTATTCAGATCCAGAGCCCAACTCCCCTGCCAGCCTAACATTTCCTCTCTGGGGTCAGGACGTAGACTGCAAGCCTGGATTGCTGTCACTAGAGGAACGTGTCCAGCACTTTAGGTCCTTCTCGAATTCTCTTTTCAGCTAGGATAACTCTGCCCGTACCCATGACTCCCAGTGATCTAGCATTTCCCAGAGTATATCACTGACTGTTGTGGAGCTGATCCTATCGGTCTCATGCAAAGCCCCGTCACCATTGAGTTGATTTCAACTCCGAGCACCTCTGTAGGTAGGACAGAGCAGACCGGTCCCATGGGGTTTCCAAGGCTGTCCACTCTGCAGAAGCAAACGAGCACATTGTTCTCCCTTGGAGTGCCAGGTGGATTTGAACTGTTGACCTTTTGGTTAAAAACTGCACGTTTAGCCACTGCTCCAGTAGGGTCGCTTTATTGTTCTATGAGTGGCCCTTTAATTTTCTACTCGTGTATTTTTCTTAGTACATATTAGAAAAAGAAGAACTACCACATCAACCTATGATTTCACAGAGAGTAAATTTAGGTATGTAATTTATTCAGGATCCCAGAGCAGTTTCATGTACATGTGAGGTGGTGTTTGTATAAGGACAAGACTGAAGGTTTTCATAGAACGATTTCCATATGTCCCACGCCCCCTTCTTGTCTTTATACACATACCTCTTTTACATAATACAACAACAATGCTATTGTTAGGTATTGTTAGGTGCTGTGGAGTGGGTTCTGACTCTCAGCGTCTCTGTGCACGGTTTCTGAATTGCCTGTGTTCTGGACATTTGGTAGGGCAGATGACCCCAGTCCTGATGACCTAGGCAAATCCCATTTAAGTCTCACAGCTTTGAACTTTTCACTCCTGACAGCAGGTGTGCACTGGGGCTACGAGGAGACCAAGGCTTTCCTGGCAATTCTCAGCGAGTCTCCATTCTCTGAAAAGCTTCGCACCTGTCACCAGAACAGCCAGGTGTACCGGGCTATTGCAGAGCGGCTGTGCGCACTGGGCTTCCTGAGGACGCTGGAGCAGTGTCGCTACAGATTCAAAAACCTCCTTCGAAGCTACCGGAAGGCCAAGAGCAGCCGCCCGCCAGGGACGTGCCCCTTCTATGAGGAGCTGGATTCGTTGATGAGGGCTCGGACTTCAGTTAGAGCTATAGGGACCCTGAGGGAGGCTGCATGCTTCCTCCGGTCTGGGCCAAACAGTACCAAGGCTGATGACCAAGAGGCCTGGGACGAGATGGGAGATGAGGATGCCATCAACCCCCCAGCCCCATGTCCTAAAACCCTAGACACTGGTAAGCCTGCAGTAACTGTCATGCAGTAAAAGCGAGAGAGAGAAAGGGACTGAATAAGAAATCAGTTTGTGCTTTGCTCTGATTATCCAGTCTCTGGTCTAAAGTGAGAGAGCAGTCAGTCTGGATTTCATTGAGGTGTAGATGAGTACTTACAGATTTGCTTTATCTCACGTGACACAGAATATACTGAATACTGTTGGTTAGAGGAAGGTCTTTATTATTGAATAATGAGATTCGGGAATTAGTCAGGGAAACGGACTGCTTGCACAGGCCGCATGGCTCCCTGGTGGGGTCACCATGTCCCAGCCTACAGCCCTTGTGTCTCAGGCTTTGTGGGTCATCTATGCATGCGTGTACCAAAACACTGTCAGTTTAGTGCTAGCCATTTCATAAGACAGCATACAAGTGCACAGTAATTCCATAAGCTATTAGGTTGTGACTGTTCATTGCTGTCACGTCCATTCTGACCGAGGACACCTCATTCATGCAGGGTAGAACTGTGCTTTAGGATATTCAGGGCTGGGACCTTTTAGGAGCAGATTGCAAGGCCTGTCTTCTAAGGAGCCTTTGGGTAAATTTAAAAGGCCAACCTTTTGGCTAGAGATGGAATGCTTAACTGTTTGAGGCACTCAGATTCTTCAAGATATAAAATGCAGATATATCAAATAAATACCAAGGAAAAGGGACACAAAAAACATTTCTGTTCATTCTTTCAGGTTTTGAATTGAGGCATGAGGATGAAGACCAGATTTTAGAGCAGGACATTTTTGAAGATTTGCCTGGAGGATTGTCAAAATGTACTACCGAGGATGCCTGCCAAACGTATGATTGGGAAGAAGAGAGTGACAATGAAAATGAAGGTGAAAGACAATGGGGAAATCCCCTACAGGAACAGTGGGAGAAATCTTCTTCCGAAGAGGACTTAGAAAAACTTATCGACCATCAAGGTCTCTACTTGACAGAGAAACCCTACAAGTGTGACACATGTGTGAAGAGCTTCAGCCGGAGTTCCCACTTCCTTGCCCACCAGCGGATCCACACCGGTGAGAAACCCTACCCATGCCTGGAATGTGGGAAAAGCTTTAGTGACCGCTCCAACCTCAACACCCACCAGCGAATCCACACTGGAGAAAAGCCCTACAAATGTCCTGAATGTGGGAAAAGCTTTAGTGACCACTCCAATCTCATCACCCACCAGCGAATCCACACTGGAGAAAAGCCCTACAAATGCAGGGAATGTTGGAAAAGCTTCAATCAGAGCTCCAACCTGCTGAAACATCAGAGAATCCACTTTGGAGGAAATCTTGACCACTGTCGTGAGCCTGGGGAAAGCTTTGTCCAGAGCTCATCCTTTAGTGCTCACTGGAGGGACTCTATCGAGACATCTCCCGAACAGTCTCCAAGTGGAGGCAGCATCAATAAGACGTTAAATTCCCCTGGGCTGTACAGCACCAACTCGGGGGAAAAGCTGTATCAGTGCTCTGATTGTGGAAGAAGCTTCTCGAAGAGCTCTGCCCTCCTTAGTCACCAAAGAATGCATTCGGGGGAGAAACCGTATGACTGTGCTGAATGTGGGAGAAGCTTCAGCAAGAGAACTACCCTGGCCAGCCACCAGCGAACTCACACTGGGGAAAAGCCATACAAGTGTGGAGACTGTGGGAAAGGCTTCAGTGAGCGCTCCAAATTGATCACACACCAGAGGGTTCACACAGGAGAGAAGCCCTACAAATGCCTCGAGTGTGGGAAGTTCTTCCGCGACCGTTCTAATCTCATTACTCACCAGAGGATTCACACGGGAGAGAAGCCTTATAAGTGTAGCGAGTGTGGGAAATGCTTTAACCAGAGCTCCAGTCTTATCATTCATCAGAGAATCCACACAGGGGAGAAACCCTACAAGTGCACCGAGTGTGGCAAAGAGTTCAACAACAGCTCTCACTTCAGTGCCCATCGAAGGACCCATGTGGGAGGGAAAGCATCATAGGGATCACCCCCCCTCCCCTAACAAAGGAGAGAGAAATGGATACTTAAACAACTCCCGAGATCTTAAGATAGAGGCTAGAAAGAAACATTCCCAATTTGGGGGGTTGGTGTATATCCAGGAAAGTTACTTTGGAATAACACAAGTAAGTTGGACATGAATTAGAGATACTAAGGATCTATCTTTGAAGGCATTTTCCTTAAATGTAATTTGCTTTTCTCCTATGAAACACACACACACACAAACCTCAGGTAGTCCTTACATTTGCTTTTGTGTCCCTGGGTGGCTCAAATGACTTTAACTTAACTATTAACTTAAAAGATTTGTGGTTTGGACCCACCCTGTGGCACTGGGGAATAAAGACCTGGCGATCTGATTCCATAATGATTACAGCCGAGCAAAACTCTACTCTGTAACACGTGGGGTTGCCAGGGGTTGGATTTTGAAAGTTTTATCAGTGTTTGAGCCAAACTGGTAACTGAGAACCTCCAGAGGTACCTCTGGGCTTGAGCAGAGCTCCTGGCCATTGGTGTGCCTTTACACGCTGAGTGTACACACACCCAATCCGTCAGTAGTGGTTCTTGTACAGGGCCACTTCCATTTGGGGCTTATGCTCATGGGAGAACTTTGAGACTGGTGAAATGGGCATAGTTGAGTAAAGGGTACAGATAACAGTGGCATCACTGTATGCTTATACGCTAGCCAAAAGAGCCAGAACATAAGCATATGCTGTTTGTCAGGCTCTGTGTTGAGCATGACATAGACCACCCCATTGAATTCTCACAACAAAACCCAGCAGGTGGGTACCTATACTCCTTCCCAGAGGAGAAAACTGAGGCACCAAGAAGTTAAATAGCTTTCCATTCCCATCTGAGAGTGTCAGAGGCAGGATTCAACCATAGCTGTCTGTCTCCAGAGCCTTTACTGCTACACTGAATTAATCCCTTTCACAGAAAGACAGGTAGCTCAGGTGCCAGGATCTCAAAGCACTTTATAAACTACATTTCCTGTTAGAATTCCTTTATGTAGTCTCCTTTTAACAAATGTAGAACTGAGACTCTAAAGATTAAAGGACTTAGGACAACTGGACTTGGCAAAATGTTTTAAAGCGACGCTGAGTAATATCAAACTCATGTGAATTTCTATCTTTGCAATAATATGGGTGGGGCATTTGAAGTGCTGGGTGTGGGGAGCGTGTGTAGCCATAGTGATGTGTTTTTCCCACCGAGACGCTACTTAGCTAAGGTTGTTGTTACTCTTTTCTCTCTTGGAGGAAGGGTTGCAGCCGTACTTGTTACTCTTGGCTTGGTTGTCCTTGGTTGTCCGCAAAATCTTACAGGAACCTGAACCTCCTTGCCAGTGCTCACTCTGACCTGTAATTTTCTCTCCTGACCCTTTCGTGGGATGGTGGAAGCTGTGTTCCTGACCTTTGTGCCAAAACTGAAGTGGAAGGGAGAGCGAAAGGATTTGAGCTGTTGTACCCTCTCAAATTTTGGACACAGTTTTATCCCAAGTCATCTTGCCCCAAGTCTCTGCAGAGCTTTTTAAGTGTTGGTCCCACACCAGCCAAAGAGGGAAGACTAGCAATAGTATAGTTTTCTAATTTGCAGCAGTTTGGTCAACAACAACAACAAAAAAGCTTAAAACATTTTTTTTGTTGGGGGCTCCTACAACTCTTATCACAATCCATACATTCATCCATTGTGTCAAGCACATTTGTATGTTTGTTGCCATCATCTTTCTCAAAACATTTTTTACTTGAGCCCTTGGTATCAGCTCATTTTCCCCTCCCTCCCCCCACACCCCTCACGAACCCTTGATAATTTATAAATTTTTATTTTGTCATGTCTTACCCTGTCTGATGTCACCTTTCACCCACTTGTCTGTTGTCTGACCCCAGGGAGGGGTTTATATGTAGATCCTTGTGATCAGTTCCCCCTTTCTACCCCTCCTTCCCTCCACCCTCCCGGTATTGCCACTGTCACCACTGGTCCTGAGGGGTTCATCTGTCCTGGATGCCCTGTGTTTCCAGTTCCTATCTGTACCAGTGTACATCCTCTGGTCCAGCTGGATTTGTAAGGTAAAATTGGGATCATGATGGTGGGGAGGAAGCATTAAAGAACTAGAGAAAAATTGTATGTTTCATTGTTGCTACACTGCACCCTGATTGGCTCATCTCCCTGTGACCCTTCTGTAAGGGGATGTCCAGTTATCTACAGTACCCATTCTGTACTCCCCCTCATTCACAGTGATATGATTTTTTGTTCTCTGATGCCTGATACCTGATCCCATCAACACCTCATGATCACAGAAGCTGGTGTGCTTCTTCCATGTGGGCTTTGTTGCTTCTGAGCTAGATGGCTGCTTGTTTATCTTCAAGCCTTTAAGATCCCAGATGCTATCTTTTGATAGCCGGGCACCATCAGCTTTCTTCATTTAATTTTTTAAAATGATGGCTAAGGACTTGTGTTTCCATAGGAATTCACGGGAAACTTTCTCTCTCACATCCACCTGTGACATTGGGATGCTAGTGATCTTCAGGGACTTGAGCAGTACATATGAGATAAAACGTATGATTTCACTTCAAGGAATAGAACTTCATATGAATCAGGTGTGAGGGCAGTGGCGAGATTTGCCACTCCAGTAGGCCAAGACCGCTCCCAACCCCCTTCATTTGCTTTAGAATGTTCTTTCCCAAGAACCAGCTCCCTTGGGATCACTATCTGAATGTGCACCAACGCTGTTATATGTTGTCAGTTATTTCCAGTTTACCTTTCCTGGTTCGTTACCTGAGACGGTGAAGTCATGGAGTCACCCCTGGATAAACACTAGCAGATGTCAGGAACTGCAACAATAAAGTGCACGTGTGAGGGGCAGTTCTAGGCACAGTGGAATGAAGTCGCATGGATTGGGGGGGCGGGGGAAGGGGGTGAAGTATCAAGGTGTAAAATGGGGAGTGAGGCGTGATGGGAGCTCAGATCACAAGAATGTTGGGGGAAGATCAGGAAGGGCCTCGTCCACTACAAGTGGCAGGTGGACACATGGCTCAGGGCAGTGTGCACTGTCAAAATCTCCCTCCAGAAGCTTCATGAACTTGGATAGGATGCAATTAGGACGGCCTGTTGGGAGACGATTCCAGTTGAACAGTGAGGGTCCCTTCTAGAGCTGTGATTACTTGCGGGAGAAAGGTGCATTTAAAGGGCCTCAGAGACTGAACTGACATCAGAGGAAAGCTAGAATGGCTTGGGTAACTAGACTCTAGGTTGCTGAACATTTGGTCTACTGTCCCCCTTTAAAAAAATACTCTGCATCCCTGGCAATTAAACACTTGTTCCATCATCCAGGATAAAGTATAGGTCCCTTGTGGCTCCTCTTGGGAAACACTGGGAGAGCATATGCTGTCTTTGAGGGTTGGGACCACACAGAGGAGGTGCGGCTGTGGCAGGAGGGCACACGATCAATTTAGTCTGGAACATTATGAGTTTGACAGGCCTAAGATGTTTGGAAGGCTGGACCTGATGGATAGCAGGGATGGTAGGACCAGGGTTACCTGAGTATGCCTGGCAGCTAAAATTACTCTCAAAGATGATGTAATCAACAATAGGGCCTAGGCTAAAGCCCCAGGATGTAGAGGAGGAATCCCTTAAGAGCACGGAGACCAATCCCTACCTCCCTCATAGCCCTGTTACGTTTTGGACACCGCCTCCATTGCTGACATTTTCAATGTGACCGGCGGGGGCGTGTGCTGGATTCTTCACTACCAGAGTCAAGTTCTCCGGAAATGCTGATGGTGCCCTTCCTCCTGGAGTGTTGCTCCCTCTCTCTCATGTGGAAGTGCACTCAGGGCTCATGTTTTCAGTGAGCTGATGCTCTTATCGTTCCTGTCCCATAGCTCTTAGAGACTCAGCCATGCAAGTGAGGGCAGCATGGTGCAGGGGAGAGAACTGTAGGCTCAGGTGTTCACACTGGCTCTTCCTTTGGAAGAATCACACTTGGGTGTTTTCTGGGTGGGGTTGGGGGTTGGGGCTGACATCCTCCAGCTGGGGCATTGCTGCTTGAATAAATTGACCTCTGATTTTACACATTCTGAGGTTAACCCGAGTCAGTGCTTGGGAAGTAGACCCATGGTGTGAAGAACAGACAAGGGTTCTGAGCTTGCGTGGCCCCAAAGCAGAGCCTGGTTATGGAAAACTGAAGCGGTGAATACTGTTATGTACAGAGATGACTACACCTACCCTACATGATTTCTGTATCCTCTCCCCCAACAATGGCATTGACTTCTTTGAAGTGACAAGGAGGTGCCTGGAAGCCCCTAAGTGTGCAAAGGTTCGAGATGAGTCCACTCAAAGGTGCCTCTGAGTAAAGGTCTGAACCTATGGAGTGCAGTTCTATTCTGACGTACGGAATCGGACACATGGACATGTGAGCTGGGGCCAACTTTATGGGGACTGGCAAAGACACCTGGAGGCTCCACCCTCCAGACTCCCTTAAGAGGCAGCAGGTCCAGAGGTTGGATGGGAGAAGTGGGACTCAAGCAGTATAATGATGTTTTTCCCCCCCCTAGACCTTGGCCCCAGTAGCTGAACTCATGGTCAAGGCTATCTCAGCCTTATCCTCTCAGAACTCCCTGCCTTAATCAGTGACAGCAACTGGGTGCCCCCATGCGGACAATGGGAGCAACCACAATCCCTTGGAACCCATCCCCTCCTCATCCTGGTCTGGGCCCCCCACTGGGAGACAGCTTTCTGCCTTTATGGTGCAGAAGAGAGTAGTCATTTTAGGGAGAGGGAGTAACAACTTTCCATGTCAGGTGTGCCGTCTGAAGCAATGAGGCAATGACGTCAGGAGCGGTGTGGTGTGTCCGGCAGATTCACAACATAACTGCTGCCCTGGGTCTTTGAGCCCCAGTGTTCTAGCCTAGGCCCTTTTCTTCATTTATTTGGGATGGTCCTAGCCATTTGCGTGTTTCACCATTGTGCAGATGCTGATGACTTTCAAATCTCCCTCCTACCCTACTCTCCTTTGAGTTTCAGGCCTAGATGTCCAGCTGCCTGTTGGCCAGCCCCACTTGGATGTCCCAGGGCACCCCACATTCCTTCGTCCACCTTCAACCAGAGTCCCTCTTCAGCCAGTCGTTGAGTACATGCACTTGCAGGAACCTCAGTGACTCCCCAACAACTCCCTTCACACATTCCAGTCAGGCTCCCTCATTCCGACTCACCTCTATAAACACCCTCCCATCTAAGGGAACTTGCCCATTGAACTGGCCTTGCGCAGCTGCCTGGGAAGTTTTTTTTTTTTTTAATGGAGTGAGTAACTGACCTCAGAATTAATCGTGTGAAACATTCCCTTGCCTCAATTTTGAAGACCTCCTGATACCATATTCCCTTCAGGCTTCCCTTGACCCCTTATAGTAACAGCAAATGCCAGTCTTAAGCCCCTGCCACACCTGCTTCCCTAGATTAGTACTATTGCAGTGGAAGGCCGTGCAAGGCTGTGCAAGGGAGGTGGCATTCACACAGCACCTTCAAGACTGGGTGTTTCCCAATGTGGTCCATCCCCACCGCTCCTGGAACTTTATCTCTTCACACCCGCTACCAGATGGTTTCAGAAAGTTCACGGGAAAATGCAATAGAAAGGTAATGGACTTTTTCCTTGAGCTTTTTGAAGTCCCCTTAAATTATCATTAGCATGTCTAGCAGCATTCTCCCCTCACTCTGATGTCAGGCAAACCTGGGATTACCGCCAAGCACACACTTTAGGTGGATAAAGGCATGTTCCTCCTGTATCTCTCTGGTCTTTCTCCCCTGCTGGTGCAGTAGCATCGATGACTGCTCCTCCTCGTGGCTCTCTGTTATATCTCTGCCAGGACCGCACAGAGTGGCCCAGAGGCAGCCTGCACCCTAGGAACCCCAGGATGCTTAGAGGAAGAGCTCTTGTTCTCAGTGGATCAGTTCTCTCATTTCTCCCAAGGCTGAGAGCTGCTTTGTTCTAAGAGCCACTTGATTAAGTCGAGAGCATCAGAATAGGAAAGGGAAGAGTCCTATTAAATAATTTTGTCTAAACTCACTACAAATAAGAGATTCACA